AACAAGATCTACGTCTAATGAAAGGTGGTCTGTTCGAGGTGCCTACTTAAACCGAGCAAAATAGATATGGAGGGTGTAAGACTTTAGTCGGGAAATCTATACAAATCAAAACCGACAAAAAACATCTTAACACCAAACGCTTCCCAATGACCAACATCACAAGCAATCGAGCGGTAGAGTAAAATACTGTAAAAGTAAAATGACAATGGTATAAAAGTGAGAGAAAGTCTTTCCATTATGAAAAAATTTATACAAGTTTTTCTTCCATAACTGTATAATTCTATCGGCTATGGCCCCGTAAGGGTGCGTTTGGGCGGCTTATTTACAGCGGTGGCGTTTTCAGCGTTTTGAAAACTCCACCCGCCTATTTGAATTTTTTTGTTTTCGATGCGTTTTAAAAACATCATTTCCGTCATTCTATTAGACGCGAATCACGGGTAGGACCCCGCGATCCACGTTTCATTCGATCGAAAAACAAAATACGCCCTTGTGCCTCACAACCTCATAGAGCTCTGCCCTAAGCGTATCACCCGACCCCCTCTATCTCGTTCGATTCCTCCCTCGCTATCTCATCTCCTTCTCCTCTCGGACGCTTGGATCGACAGGTACCTCCTATCCGCCCGTCTCTCGATTTCTTCCTGGTATTTTCCTTCTCCTCTCAAATGCTCGAATCCAGGGTTTTTCTTGCCTTGCTTTATTTTTTCCCTTCTTTCTCAGCATCTTCCGATAGGAGAGATGCTGCAGATAGCCCTTAAAACTGAAATGCTTTCAGTTTTATTGCAGGATGTATACTTTTTTTATGGGATTGATAATTTGGAATTGCAAGCAGAAGTTCAAAATTGTATCCTTTTTATTCAGCTGCCAGAGAAAGTTCTAAGCCAAATTAGCTTTTTCTGTTTACATACGTTTGATGAAGCTCTGAGAATTCTTTACCTTTTCTGTTTACATACATTCCAAATTGGCCTTTTTTTGTTCAAAATTGTATCTTTACGGTCTTACATACAATTTAACTCTTACAGCAATTGGTAGAATGTGTTCTCTGAAAATTTTGCATTAGAAGCACTTAAATATCCATTAGAAGTTGCTACTGATTTGATTCTACAATTGAGTAAATTTTTGGGTTAACTGTAAGATATATTGTAGGACGAGACTCAGGTTTCATCCTCTTATAAGAAGTAGAAAAGTTTTTATATTGACATATTAGTTTGTTTTATCATGTAGAGAGAATGTGCTCACGGTTTCTTAAATACAAAGGGGTGTTTTTATCACAAATTTTTGGGAAAATTGATATTCACTAAAGAAAAAAAATTATCAAAATGGAGAAGTTAGAGTTTCCAACATTTTTTATTGAGTAAATGAACAGAGCAAGAATAGCCAGAGGATGCTCTGGATACTCAAACTTCTCTTTCTCATGGGTGAACAAATGGAATCTATGGGAAAGGTAAAGCTTTTGTTTTCTTTTATATAACATTCTTTCAAATTAATTATATTTTAAATTAGCAATCATAATTGTAATAATTTTAAAAAATTGAAGTTAAGAAATTTTCAACTTTTGTACTCTACATTTTTCTTAAATGATATTCATTTCACTCATTTTAAACTTGGAAGGTTTACATAACATTTAATTTTAATGTATTCTTGTCTAGTACCTGTACTTCAATTTGGAAGATTTAAATAACATGACTTCTTTTTTTATTTAAGGCTATGTTATTTTTTTTATTGCTACAAAACACAATATTATTGTTGTTGCTCTTTTTAACTATAAATTCTTCATATAGTTCCAATATGGCTAAGACGAATCAAGGGGGCCCGTCAGCTATGTGGGATATAGAAGTTACAAATATTTTTTTCAATCTCTGTATTAAAGAAATTGAACTCGGAAATAGGTCAACCACGTATTTTAACAAGGAAGATTGGCAAAATATTGTGAAGAGGTTTAAAGAATTGACGGGAAGGGATTACGACAGGCTCAAATTCAAAAACAAATGGAATCAATTGAAGAATGAATGAAAAATTTGTAAGGAGCTGAAACGTGGATCTACTGGGTTGGGTTAGAATCTCATTAAACGAACAATTGATACTCCAGATGAATGGTGGGTTAAGAAATTAGAGGTAATATTTACATTATACATTTTGTTTATTCTGAAAAAATGTTTTGGTTTAACAAATAAACCCTCTAAACCCCCCTTCTCAAAACAATATTACAGACAATGTCGACAGCGAAAAAATATAAGTGTTGTGAAATTGAGCCGGACTTTGAAGATAAACTTGACATAATGTTTAAGAGGAGGGTTGTCGCGACGGGAAGGGAAAATATGCATTCAACTCTAGTGAGATGGGGTTTGCCGACATACCAGATGACTTGTCACTTGAGCAGGAGACAACTGACGAAGAAGTGCGTAGTATTAACCAGAATGAGATGGGGGAGTCTAGTCAACTGTCAAAGAGGTTCAAGCTTGGTAAGACGAAAGAAAAGAACAGTTTTGTGAAAAGCTTATTCGATCGATTCATTGATGCTTTTGCAGCTCCACCACCTGCTCTTCCTAAAGTTTTGGATTGGAGCTTTGGATTTTCTTCCTGAAGTAGTTGTCGATATGCGATTTCATCTAAAGTGTGTAAAAAAACTTAAGGATCCTCTACACGTAGGCAAATATTCATGGCGTTGCGGCCTGAATTGCGCGTCAAATCTTTGCATGTTTTGGTGAATGAATGCATTTTTTTTATATGTTGATCTTTGTCGCTTTTTTTTATTATGTACTTCTAAATTAGTCTTTTTAATATGTTCATGTTTGTAGTATTTTTTTTTTTTGTTATGTGCTTTTAAAAGCTGCTATTTATTTTTCAGAATATACGTTTTTAATTTGTTGTGTGCTTTGTAGTCCTTAATGTTTTCATTACTTATTTTTGCTGCTATTATGTCTTATTCAGATATAGACTTCAGTATTGCTGACAATGATGAACTGAATGCCTCTGAAAAACCTTCAGAATTTGTGGTTGGGTCTTTATTACCTGAGGATGAGATAGACTCTAATGAATTTGAAATTCATGACGGTGAAAGTGTGGTCGAGATGGTTGTTTTGAGGGAGTCTATTGCAGATGCTATCTGTGACAGTTGATCCACCAAGTTTTATTTATTTATTAGACTATAGGTTTATTTTCGTATGCATTTTGTTTTGTTTTTTTTTTTATTTTAGAATCTGACAATTGGTTTCTTTTTTTTTTTGCAGCTATAGCAACATGAGTTCCAGGATTTTGGGACCAACGGAGTTGTCTTGTGTTACTGCAGACTGCCAACTCTGTTACCCACGTCACGTCAACCTCACAACAGTGGGAGACAGTTCTACGGTTGTCATAGGGGCGTTTCAACTAGTTGTGGTTTCTTCTGTTGAGCCAACAATTCGACATATTGCACTGCGAACAGTGATCGGGGTACGATTATTTCTCATGATGGCAGTGCAGCTGCGGACAGACGTTGGCAACGTTTTAAATTGAATATTCTAATATTTCTCATTGTAGTTGTAATTGTATTTATTTTTATTACATTTCTTTTGATACTCACGAGAGTGTGAGCACTCTATGTTATCATTTTAAATTTATTTGTAATGAATTGTGACTTCTGTTTTATTTATTTCTATGCTCATACAGTTATGTTGCAGAGGCAAAATGATCATTTATCCAGCAGCAGATGCCAATAAGTTATTTTGCATAAGTTCCCCCAAACAACAAGCTAGTTTATCCTGATAATTTGCAGATTATCAGATTGTCAGGATAATATTTTTATCAGCAGATTATATATAATCTGCAGTTGCCCCAAACAGACCTTAAAACAAACAATTTCTTCATAAGTAAAAGCATAAAGACAGAGAGAGAAAACCTAAACAGTTGTTGGCCTGCCGTCGCTGACACCTCAATCTCGGACCGCTTCTGCAAATTCTTCGTTGTCGTCCTCTGAGTCGGAGAGGTGGCAAACTGCTTCATGTCCACCCACTTGAGCTCGACCAAACCCTCTTCGACAAAACGATCGACGTCCAAGGAGATGCCCACCTAGAATAGCTGGGAGAGCCCCTCAATGTGTGCTCCTCATCGGTCACCATCATGGTCGTCGCTGTATCAACCTCTCATTCTCTTTCTCCAAGGCTAACACGATTTCCTCATGTCCACCATATTTCATTCGCCCGGTTCTCAGTCGATAACTTTAACCTCTTCTCAGCTCGGATTGCCCTCTGCTCCATTTCTCATATTCGGGCGAGCGCCTCGACCATCCTCCGCTCAACAGCAGTCTTTTTTTTCCTCCATTTGTCATGAGGCCTTCAATTGAAAGTGGGCACTCGTCCACACCATCAAGTGGTACCAGTCGCCGAGCCGGCAAAGGTCCAGGCCATACAGCCTCTTCAGGAACTCCTTGAAGGAGTTAGATCAGACCACCTCTGCCAGAAGGCACGAGTACTCTTCTGCAGTCAAGACTACCTTGTCAAAGCGCCCGACAGAACTTCACCAAACATTAAGGTCCTCCTCCGTAGAAGGAATCCACTTTGGAGGAGAGCCCTTGCATTTCAGCCGAGAAGGAGGCAGTGGGGAGACGTCCTCGGCGTGAGCTTTTCCTTCCCGGTTGATGGCTTCCTCCCAGCGCTCCAACTCTGCCTCACCATCAACCTCGGTACCAGATTTCGACAAAGGGATGGGTGATGGTCGGCTCGCCTCACCTCTTGACTTGGTGTCGAGGAAGCCAGCGTCGTGCAGCTTGGCTACTTCTTCCGCTCCGACCGGAGACGCCTCCTCCTCCTACTCCTCCTCCTCCTCCCCACTCAACCGAAACAAACTCAGCGTTTTGGGAGAGAGCCTTCTCGGCAAACTCTAGAATTGCCGACAACATTAAATTTCTTAACAACCCCCCCATAACTAAAATCATTACATGTACAACAGAAACAAGATATCAAGATCCATACAAAGGCAACAAGTACAAATAGTACAAAAGGGAGAAAGGGATAGTCATTTTGAACCTTGGCTGGAATTCCAGAACTTCCACAAGCTTATCTCCGTTGTGATCGTTCCACTGGACCTTCTTACTCCCGCTCCTCTGCCTCCTCACCTTTATTCCACCTTTCTTCAATGAAGGCAATAGAAGCGATCTCGTCTCCCCATGATCTTCCTTCCCCTTATCCATCCCGTCATTAGAAACCACAACGGATGATGTCTTATTCCCATCACAGATTCTTGCATCATTTTTCCCGACATCCATCTGCCCCTATCACAAAACCTAGGGTTCCAGGCATCAATCTACCCTCAATAATCGCAAAAACTAATCAGTCGTGAACACCACAAATCAAATCCATCGAGTGAAACCTCGGCCGAGAACTATATACTAATCGGAATCCTAATCTTATCAAAGACACGAAAACATCCCTCAATACCTCAATCTTCCGCTTCACCGGAAGGCGAATCAATTCATAGATTCTATGTTCCTGAAGCTCACTCAAATTGGATCCGCTTCGCTAACTATCAACTCAGATTGAGGGCAAAAACATGAGAGGCGTGATTCGGGATTCGTGAGTCGGAAAAAGCAAAGAACTGATGATTTCGATTTATAAGGAGAGGAACGAGACAGGAGAATAACCTTCGTCCTCATTACAGTTTTCAACTAGTCGGGGACCTTCAGTCCGTCATCAACCTTTCATTTTACATATATATACCTCTTATTTTTGCATTTTTGCATTTTTGCATTGAGATGATCTATTTTATTATATTTTTTAATTAAATAATGAGAATTTTCATGTGATATAAAAAATTTGGGTGTTATAAATATAAAAAGATAAAATTTATATATTAGATATGTAAATATATAAGAATTGGGCGACAAGTATGTAGATGCCCCAATGTATATGTTTTAAAGTAGCATCATGTGGTACGAAGACATGCGACGGAAAAAAGGAGTTCAATATGGCTTTCAAAAAGGCTAGTCATTCATGAATGAGCTAACTTGAAGTGTGTGTTAAATTCGTTTGTTACGTAATTGAGTTGTAATTAAATGGTTATTTGAAGTGTATTTTCTTAAAGAGTCAAACACAAATAGAGACTTATTCAATTATATTCAACTTTTTTATTGGCTCAAACTAAAATATTATTACATTATTATTATTTTACACACACACGCGCATAAATACATTGTTGAATATGAATTTGTCTTGGACCACACCTCAAGGGATTAGAGCGTTAGAAATAAGAAGGGGGGGGGGGGGGGGACAAATATTTTCTTATTACATGGGGGAAGGGAGCGAGCCCCATAAAGGAGATTCCTCTTACATGAAATAAGCTTCTATTCATAGCAGAGGGAGTAAATTGAAGGAAAATTACATTTTTAAACCTGTTTTTAATGAGAGTTGTACATGTTATTTTGGTCATTTTACATAAGTGAGCTTGTGGCTCGGCTATCTTCAGGCTTGTTTAGACTACTGGTTGTTCAGACCTTTAGTTGTCTTGATTTCTGGTCATACAGGCTTCTGATCGTCCGGACTTTCGGTTGTCCAATATTATGATCGTCTAGTCTTTTGGTCATCCAGACTTCTGACTTTTAGTCATCCTGAAATTTTGTCATATGGATTTCTAAACATCCAAAATTATGGTTGAGGGTTGCCCGGACTTTTGGTCGTCCGAAAATATGGTGTCTAGACTTCTAGTCGTCTGGTCTTCCCATTGTTCAAACTTTTGGTTGACCGGACTTTTGGTCGTCTCGACTTCTGGTGGTAAAAGCTTATGGTAGTCCGCACTTTTGGTCATGCAGACTTTTGGTTGTCTTGTCTTCTACTTGTCTTGAGTTCTAATCACATAGACATCTGGTTGTTCAGATTTTTTGTCGTACGAACTTCTGGTCGTCCCTCTGAAGGATTCAGTCATAAATTTTTTATGTGTACATATTTAGTTCATCAATTCTTTTATCTTTTGAAGGCAAAGCTGATATAAAAATGAGAAAATTTAATGCAAAAAATGCAATCACAATTATTCATTAATTGAACTCCCATGATTTTAGTATCATTTGCACTCTTTCTCTTCAACTTTGAAGTGTCCTAAGGTCTTCAAGTCGGGCCTTGGTTAGCATTGTTGGTCTGCTGATTTATCATGGTTCTTGGCTTCATTTGGACTTCTAGTCATCCAGACTTAAGGTGGTCTACAACTTAAAATTTTTCTTTTTTTAACACTTTCAAAGAAGTGTTAGTAATTTTATAAATTTTTCATTTAGGAAAATAAAGTAAAACTCTTGATCAACTTTTATCTTTGTTTACCTCTATCAATATTTTATTTTATTTTTGTGATGTAAGCTCGTCCCGCGTTGATTGGTGTATCTGCTTCTCTAATAATGCTTTTGATCAATTTCGTTGTGTTGTGCCGATCATATGTCTTACATCACAGACTGAATATTAATTAATTTTTTCCTAATAAGAGGCCCTACGTCGTTGTCAGACTTTTAACGAATTACTACAAGGCTCAAGGCTTACACCTCTTATGTTTCGATTGATCGGTCAGGTCATCGCTTCGAACTAGTTGCACCGTACGCCGGACAAATTAAGTGGATCTTGGTGCAACCTTTGCAGAGATAATTGTCGAGACTTGTTGTCGAGGTGATTTGCTCAGTACTCTTCTTAGGGCTTGTCACTATTATAGAGGGAACCACCTCCAACGCTTTAATTTGAGAAGTGTGTTATTGATGCTTGAGAATTAAAGGTTGTTTTTTTGTGTTTTAATATATATTAGATGTCGAGCATCATTATCGGTCAGTTTGGATGCTCTTTAGCAATTGAAGTCTTGCATTGCTATTTGTTTTACTTACTCGAGTTCGAGCTCCCCGAGCATTAGTCAAGTTTTAATGATCCCTTGTGTGAGCTCCTCTAATTTTCCTAGCATTAGTTGAAATTATAGTCGTCTGGACTTCTGATTGTTAAGATTTCTAGTTATCTGAGCATCTGGACATCTCTGGCCTATGGTCGTTCGGATTTTTGATTGTCTAGACTTTGTGTTGTTTAAACTTAAGGTCGTCTGGACTTCTGGTTGTCTGTTCTTCCGTTCATCAAAACTTTTGGTCATTTGGACTTTTGGTCATCCTAATTGTGAGTCATTCTAGCTGCGTTGATTGAGACTTGACCCGACCAAACTTAATCCTTGGTTATTCTTCTTATGATACTTATTTTCTTATTGGTGGCATGATTTGTGCTCACTGTGTATTATAAAATGTTGAATCTGAATTTGTTCTTGGATCACACATCTTGATATTAGAGCATTGGAAAGGAGAGAGAGTAAAAGTGCGTCGCGACATGCCCCTCTAAGGTAAATTGGGGTATTCCTGGTCTCTTGTGACCTTTTATACAATTAAATTTTTTTATATATTGAGGAAGCGAGAGAGCCTAACAACGGAGATCCCCCTTACACAAAATGACCTTCTAAATATAGTGGAGCGAGTGCAATGAAGGAAAATTACATTTCTAAACCTAGATTACTAAGAGTTTTATAGTTTATTTTGGCCATTTTACATGAGTGAGCTCGTCGTTTTGCTATCTTCAGACTCTACCAAGTTGTTAGTCGTGCAAACTTCTGATCTTCTAAACTTTTGGTCATCCAGACTTCCAATCGTTTGGATTTCTGGTTATTCGTATTTATGATCGTTCGGACTTCCGTTCTTTCAAACTTCTAGAGTTTGGTTTATGGTCATCTGGTCATCTGGACTTCTTGTCCTCCCTTTGAGGGATTCAGTTGAACACATTTTTTGAGTACATATATCACCCATATATCACCCGAAAACCACCTGATCAAGCTTGGATGTTGATTGTTGGCATCAATTTTTGAGATCGCAAGTGTAAGATATCCGCTCAAGTGCTATAGAACATTGCTTGAGGCATGCATTGCTGAGCACATGAGCCGAAAAAAAAAATGTTTGAAATATAAGAAATTTAATAGGAAAATAAAGTAAAACTCTTGATCAACTTTTATCTTTGTTTACCTCTATCAATATTTTATTTTTTTTCTGTGATGTAAGCTCGTCCCGCGTTGATTGATGTATCTGCTTCTCTAATAATGCTTTTGATCAATTTCGTTGTGTTGTGCCGATCATATGTCTTACATCACAGACTGAATATTAATTAATTTTTTCCTAATAAGAGGCCCTACGTCGTTGTCAGACTTTTAACGAATTACTACAAGGCTCAAGGCTTACACCTCTTATGTTTCGATTGATCGGTCAGGTCATCGCTTCGAACTAGTTGCACCGTACGCCGGACAAATTAAGCGGATCTTGGTGCAACCTTTGCAGGGATAATTGTCGAGACTTGTTGTTGAGGTGATTTGCTCAGTACTCTTCTTAGGGCTTGTCACTATTATATAGGGAACCACCTCCAACGCTTTAATTTGAGACGTGTGTTATTGATGCTTGAGAATTAAAGGTTGTTTTTTTGTGTTTTAATATATATTAGATGTCGAGCATCATTATCGGTCAGTTTGGATGCTCTTTAGCAATTGAAGTCTTGCATTGCTATTTGTTTTACTTACTCGAGTTCGAGCTCCCCGAGCATTAGTCAAGTTTTAATGATCCCTTGTGTGAGCTCCTCTAATTTTCCTAGCATTAGTTGAAATTATAGTCGTCTGGACTTCTGATTGTTAAGATTTCTAGTTATCTGAGCATCTGGACATCTCTGGCCTATGGTCGTTCGGATTTTTGACTGTCTAGACTTTGTGTTGTTTAAACTTAAGGTCGTCTGGACTTCTGGTTGTCTGTTCTTCCGTTCATCAAAACTTTTGGTCATTTGGACTTTTGGTCATCCTAATTGTGAGTCATTCTAGCTGCGTTGATTGAGACTTGACCCGACCAAACTTAATCCTTGGTTATTCTTCTTATGATACTTATTTTCTTATTGGTGGCATGATTTGTGCTCACTGTGTATTATAAAATGTTGAATCTGAATTTGTTCTTGGATCACACATCTTGATATTAGAGCATTGGAAAGGAGAGAGAGTAAAAGTGCGTCGCGACATGCCCCTCTAAGGTAAATTGGGGTATTCCTGGTCTCTTGTGACCTTTTATACAATTAAATTTTTTTATATATTGAGGAAGCGAGAGAGCCTAACAACGGAGATCCCCCTTACACAAAATGACCTTCTAAATATAGTGGAGCGAGTGCAATGAATGAAAATTACATTTCTAAACCTAGATTACTAAGAGTTTTATAGTTTATTTTGGCCATTTTACATGAGTGAGCTCGTCGCTTTGCTATCTTCAGACTCTACCAAGCTGTTGGTCGTGCAAACTTCTGATCTTCTAGACTTTTGGTCATCCAGACTTCCAATCGTTTGGATTTCTGGTTATTCGTATTTATGATCGCTCGGACTTCCGTTCTTTCAAACTTCTAGAGTTTGGTTTATGGTCATCTGGTTATCTGGACTTCTTGTCCTCCCTTTGAGGGATTCAGTTGAACACATTTTCTGTGTACATATATCACACATGTATCACCCGAAAACCACCTGATCAAGCTTGGATGTTGATTGTTGGCGTCAATTTTTGAGATCGCAAGTGTAAGATATCCGCTCAAGTGCTATAGAACATTGCTTGAGGCATGCATTGTTGAGCACATGAGCCGGAAAAAAAAAATGTTTGAAATATAAGCGAGCCAAACAAAAACAATTGTATTTTTTAACGAGTAGAACATGAGCTCAACCCATACTTGCTCGTGTTCAGCTCCTTTACACCCCTACTAGCAACTAAAATTGCAATATATAAGGTGCCTCCTCTCGTTAGCTGGCCGCAGATGCGTGCTCCACACCTAATATTTTCTCCTAAAATTGAGGCATAATAATGTTTAATATGACAATAATTTCTTAGATATTTTCCTTAGCATGGAAGCATTCTTCGTATTAAAAATTGATCAGATAATTTCTCCTACGATATTAGAAAATTTCAACATCAATTAACCACACAAACCCTAATTCCGAGCAAATCCAGCACTTCGTTTTAAAAACTTATTCCGAATTTCATTTATTGGCAGCCGGCCAATTTATTTATGGAATTAAAATAAACTAAATTACAACACGACCCATGATAAAATCATAAAATTACATAAATTCAGATAAATTTTTATACTGCCACGTCTCTTTTATTGTATTTTTGGGACATTTACATGCATACCACCCAATTCCTCTGATTTTAATTATTCTTTTTCTTTTAAAATTACACGACCCAATTCTTTAACATGGCATAAAAATATCATTGTTTTGGTATAAAAAGTAAAATGTGCTTTTTCATATGCACATAAGATGATTATACATTAAATTTAAAATTTATCTATTATATATGCAAATACATAGAAATTAAGCTGTATGTATATTGGGAATCACCGCCTTGGTATGATTCCAAGAATTTTTCTATCATGTGTCGTGAATCTCAAGCATAGCATAGATCTCGATGAAATCTTTCAAGTAAGAATTATTTAAACTCTGATAAAAGTCATCCAGAGCTCTTATTTCAGCAAAGTTACTGTCCAACTAGCCGGCTCAACGAGATGGACACAACGATATCAAAATTAGTCCAATCTGAGTTAGATCAGGCTCATATCAAGTCATGAAACCACTTTTGAAAGTTTTCTGGATGTATTTGGAAGGTCAAACAAATGTTAAATCTAGCAAGCCTATAGTCAAATCATGTTTCTCGGCAAGATGAATCCAACGAGCTCAAGTTCATTCAATTCTGACATTGTTAAGGTACTTGAATGTTCATCAAACGTTGTATGTCCGAAGGAAGCTCTAGTGACCGTTTGATCAAAGTGATTTATGTTCTTACATTAAATGCACCCAACACACCATGAATAGAGCTGAGAAAAACTTGAAATATGAGAAAAAGCTTGAAGATTTGAGAATGAGTTGAAGTCCAAGTCCACCGCGTTGATCGTAGTCGACCACCTCCAACCATTGTCGACCTCCCTAGGCGCATCGGTGCATGGGAAGATTTTGTGGGCCTTGATCTCATCCCTCACTTTCGCTTTTTTTATTACGCTATTTCCCTACGATACGACTATAGAGGATGAGAGACTGATCGACCATATCTCAGACCACCAGATCGAAAAGAAAGTTGAGAGATCGGTTCTGACGTCGAACAGGTTGCCTCCCTAGGCGCGTCGGTGCACGGGAAGATTTTGTGGGCCTTGATCCCATCCCTCTCTTGACTCGCAAGACGCGCGTGCGCTTGACTCACAATAGAATAGATTGAGGGGGGTTCAAACTCCCATCGCCTGCTTCACAGTTGACTGTCGTCGACTTCCACCGATCGCCGTCAACCACCGTCGCAAATTTTCGTTAACCATCGTTGACCGCCGTCGATCGTGACCAACCACCATCGACTATACACATCCAATCGCTATCGATCGTCTCTTGTTCCAATCAAAAAATTCATCAGCACGTCGACATTTTAATTCGGGAAACCTAATACTCCTTTCTCGTCTAAGAGACAAGTGGTTGCAACTATAATCAACTTTTTATAGTTGAACTCTTCAGTTGAGTCAGATCTTGTGATTTTTCCCTTTTTGGGTTTTCCACGTAAAAACTATTGGTGTCATCATTAATTGTTTTATCTCATTTGACCATGTGTTGAATCTTCGTACCACACTAAGACGATAATCTGCTACTCTATTGCTGCAAATTTTCTAGCATACATCAACACCAAAAGATTATAATATAAATAAGAAGAGAGAGAGAGAGAGAGAGAGAGAGAGAGAGAGAGAGAGAGAGAGAGAGAGACTAAAGAGCTTTATAGTATTGGTATATTATCCTTGTGTTTTTTTCGCCTTGCCCTCTTTTATGTATTGCTGTTCCCAAATTTATAGTTGATAGAAGTTGCATTATGAAATGTCAATCATGATTGTGCAATTCTTTATTATTAGTTGGTAACAACAATTATAAGATAGTCGTACTATGATTGAATCTTTACTAATCGGATCTCCCCTTTGGTGGCTCCTAAGTCAACGAGCCATTCATCTATTTATCTGTTCCCATATTTATAGCAGATAGAAATCACATTATAAAATATCGATAACGCTCTTAATAATCTCTAAAGATGACCATTACTATGGTCGAACCTTTACCATTCTGATATCCGTTTGGTGGCTCTTAGTTAGAGAGTCATTAATCTATTTATCCGCAGGGCTTGTCAGCTCTGTGTCGGTTGATAACACTTTGAGCTCGTTGGGATTGATTCTCTGACACATTTTCTGTGGTGATTCACTTGATTGGATTCATTATATTTTGGTCATGCATACATAAATATTTATCACTCATTTTTTTCATTAGAGCATTCAATTTCAACATTTTACTGTTCAAAGTGCCGACACGTGAGAGCATCTACTATAAAGCTTGAACTGATTCAAATCGTATTTATAATCATTAATTAAATAGTTTTAATTTTGATTCATTTTAATTCTATTATATCACACAAGCCGTTTATCTGCATCAAGATCTGTGCAATGTCTGAAGGAGTGCAATAGCGCCCTTTCAACCCGCCGAGCCTGCCTCCTTCAAGGAACGTTACAAAACCTAGAACTGTGAAACCAACCTCTTTCCGTTCTCTCTCTCTCTCTCACTCCAATTCTCTTCTCTCCATGTCTCTCTCTGCTGTCCATGTTTTTATTCCTGTTGTTTTCACCATTTTCTGAGAGCGTAATAGGTGGAGATGGACTATGGATCGGCGGGGTAGGACTCAGCGATCGGCGAGCACTTTCAATATTCCCGCAAATTGGCAGCCCCATTTCAAGAGCCACGGGCTTTGATCGTCGTAACTACGTGTTAGAGGGGCTCTGTTTGTGATCGGAGGGTCCCCTAGGTGTGGGTTGATCGGCTTAATTCTGCCAATGGGAGGATTGGTTTGGGGCCTGGACGGATTGTATGGGCCGTGTAAAAGCGAGGAATGCTGAACCTCTTGGTGTGATTGGAACCTGGTTCTGGTTTATGTTGTGCTTTTAGAATCTTTCTCCACGTCAGTTTTGCGGTGGGGCAACTTTGGAATTTTTTGTCCTTTTTCCATTTCCTTGCGATGATAGAGGCGGGTTGTTTGGGCGAAAACTGGAGGGGTTTTTTTTCTGGTTGTTAATTTTGAGCTGAAGGAATAAATTTTGTTATTCCCTGCACTTTGTTTGTTTCCTGAAGCTTGCCTATTCTGTCTTACCGGTACATTGGATTCAGTTGGCGGCGTAAGAACTGTTTAAAGCTGCTACATTGGAAGAAGGATCTGTGGGGATTACAACAGCTCGTTTAAGTAATCTTTAGTAGCCTGATATGGCCGAGCAGGAAGCCTGTTCGCAGCCAGGCGGGCTGCTGCTAACTGGTCTTCTGCCTAATGAAGCGGGCAATGCGACGCGGGTGCTAGATGCACAGAGATGGTCCAAGCTTGAGGAGAGAATTGCTGAGCTAATAGCTTGTATTCAGCCCAACCGACAATCTGAGGTGCATAGGAATGCTGTGGCCAAGTATGTCCAGTCGCTTATCACCGGCTGCAACCCATGTGAGGTTGGTCTGTTTTTTTCTCTATTCAATAATCTTCTCATAAACAGTTGGTCACTTTATATGAGTAAAGTTTTAGGAATTGTTTGGGTGTAACTTAGATTTATGTTAAGTAGGATTTATCAAATATGATAAATCCGGGATAATCATGGACGACCGAGTTTGCGAGCGACGACGGAATAAATCTGCCTCGGAATCGGATTTAATAAAGCGGGATTTACGTTGGGAAAGAGATGGAACATGAGGAAAAATTGACAGAATGCGAGAAAGTTCGATTTAATGGAGTGTTGGATTTGATGTTCAGTTTTTTGGTGTTTGGTTGGATTTAAGCTAAATTCATCGCTAAATCCTATTAATAGTATGCTACCAAACACTGCCTTCATCTCATATGCACAAACATTTTGTACCAATGAAACTTGTTGTGTATACATGTAAGACGCATGCACTTGTTGAACATGCACTCTACATGCATCAGGCACACTATCGATGAGTTTAATTAAGAAAGAAAGAAAAATTGTAAGACTCATATATTAAAGAATAAATTTTAACTTTAGTGGTTAATTACATAAATGGTTGAACTTAAGTCATCTGTTATCTTTTAATTGAAAATATATTACTTTAATAATTTAATAGTTACTTAATATTAATTTTATTTTTCTTATTCCGCTCTATCTAGTGATATTTTTTATGACATTTATTTTTCATTGTCTTACAAAATAATCAATTTTCTCATCTCCAAACTAACAATTATAATATTAGGTAGCCTTTCTTCTTAAATTGAGTTTCTAGTGTTAAATATTTAAATATATTTATTATTTTATGAGCTAATGAAATAAATTCATTATATTATAAATTTGCTTCATATTATTATGTGCAAGTGTTATATATATTTTTTAATTTCAGGTTATTATATTTTAATGTTGTGTTCGATACATATACATGTCCTTTATTTTTAATGCTAGGTGTGTTTAGTGTCCATGCCATATTGTCTGTCCTATATCTATATCAGAGACCACTGTACCTAATGCTTTCATTCATTTAATAAGTGCAATTTTAGATCTCATTTTTTCTACTTAAATTTAATATCAAAATTAAAAAAAGTTGTATGAACAAGATGCTTTTAAGTCCAAAAAACATATCTTTGCTTTGTTGAAGTAGATGAAAAGAAAACCAAACCAAACAAGTTTCTTAAGCAAATCAATGGCTGAATAGTAATATATGATTACAGCCGAGCAGCAAATTCTCTTAGAAACATTGGGACTGTAATAATTAATAGCAATAAGAGCTTCAGGGCTGTAGCAATTAACAGTAATAAGATCCGCAAGTCTGTAGTAGTCAGATCTTTGAGGAAAAAGATTTAAACTTACAAAATCAGAAATAAAGATGGTTTGTTATGGGGAGTTGAGGATAAACCTTGAGACAGATTGAGACATGCTTTGAAAAAAAAAAAAAAGGCTAAAAAAAGGCTAAAAAAGCTCATAAAATAAAAATAGTAAATAATTCATTAATACACTATAGATTATCTACATATTATTTTAGTAATTATCATTACTATAAAATCATACAATAATAAAAAGAAAGCAAATCTCAAACTTAAACCTTAATCTAAAGTGAAAGTGTGAAAAAAACAAAGAAAGTGGCCGCTTAACATTTAAATACATTACAATGAATGGAATCTGCACAGTATTCACATTGAGTTGTAGATCTTTTCATACAAATTTGCAACCCTTCTCATTCACATCCCTTCCCATTGCGTTTTCTGTCGCTTGTAGGTTTTCTGTTGCTTGCTATTTGCTGAACAGCATACCTGTCAAGTTTGCTCTACTTTGCTATTCTATCTTAAAAATTTAACAGAGATGTAAATTATGGTAGGAATATCAAATAACAAGAGAAATGTTTTTTTAAATTTTTTTTAGATATCAATTTGACTCGAGCCGTGACTGCCTTGGCACTTTACCTTAGACAAAAATTGGTACATGCCTCACTCAGCTTGTAAAAGCATAAGCATCGAGGCAGTTTCTGAGCGCTTTGAGGCATACACTTCAAAGCTACTTAAAGCATGCCGGGGAAACAGAAAACCATAGAAAGGACAGCTAAGTATTTTCGATTTGAATCACAAGATTTTAGAACCATGCCTGTCATTAGGATTTACTAAATTCTATTAAAACCTACTTGAAAATGATTTATAAATCTAGATTTACTAAGTTCTATTTTGTAGCTAAACGAAACCAAAATTAAAATTATGGACAGGCATCTCTTGAATGCATTGGAATAATATTAACATTTATTATTAAAGTAATTATATTCAAGTAAATGCATATTTTCAACCCATTTATGAGCTATCTATTCATAGGGATTATGAATGTATTGTAAAATATATGTATTTGATTTGCTACATTGGCCATCAACCACTGCCTTTTGCCACAACATTGCCATCTGCTGAGACCTTCCAATGCCTTTGAAATATATCATAATAAACACAAAAGTATTTTATTTTGTTTAATTTACATCCGAATGAACAAGTTATGCATTTCTAAAATGCATGTATTCCAATGACTCTACATTTCTAGATAAATGTTCTTTACAAATATCCAATCAAACAATCTCTTAGTTTTTTCATGAACCAGACTATGGAAATATACAATTTACTTCCAAAAAAAAAAAAAAAGATCATCGTATTGGAGAAATTCCACCGGCAAAATAAATAGTTAAATACTGTAATGATTTGAAGACCAGAGGGTTTTCTTTTTATTATTTGTCAAGGACCTTGTGAATGCATAGCAGAGATTGATGATGTTTGGACAAATGAAGAATAAATATTGATTTTTCATATCAAGAAAAAAAAAGTGGCAGAGATACGTGATTAGTGAAATTCCAAGTGTTTTTTTATAGTAATATAAATATGTTTTACATGTCATAAATTTAGTTCTTTCTTTTAAGATATAGCACTTGCATCCATTTTTCATACTGCTTTCTTTTTTTTTTTTTTGGGAAATTTACATACGTAGCATGAAATTCTTTTGTAGTTACATATCTCACACCTAAACTTTTATATTTACATATTTGATGCATTAAGGCTAGCATGAAAAGTTGTATTTTTCTGTTAGAAGTGGTAATAGTGTTATTTTTTATGTGATATTAAAGATTTGAGTTCTATGTTTGTAAATATGAAAGCTTAGGTATGAGATATGCAAGTGCATAAGAATTGTGTGCTATGTATGCAAATGTCTTTTTTCTTCTTTTTCTTTAACAATAAACAATGACTTTTTCAGGTTTTCACATTTGGGTCAGTACCCCTCAAGACCTACTTACCGGATGGAGACATTGATTTGACCGCATGTAGCACTAGTGAATATCTGAAAGATACTTGGGGCAATGCGTTTCTTCAGTTGCTAGAGAATGAAGGAAAAAGTGAGAGTGCTGAATTTCGTGTAAAGGAAGTGCATTACATTCAGGCAGAAGTATGTCTTCGATATGAACTTTGACACATCAGTGCCTGAATAACTCTATCTGAAATGGTTCTGTGCATCTTCCATTTTACAAACCGCTTGTATCCTCTTGAATTGTTTTTAGATCTTGTAAAACTTATCTTAATTTGTCCAAGTCATACAAAGCGATATATATTTTAGTTGTAGATTCTTTGTCTCTTCTTATGTCCTTAGGCTCTTGACGTTCTAATTTTTTTCTTTCTCTGATGTCCAATGCTATTATCTTGTGGAAATTGCATCCTAGTTTTATGAGACATGTTTTTTGCATGCACATGAGTTTCTTCAGTGATTTGCGAACAAGGCAATTTACAATTTTCTCCACTTCATATAATCCACGTTTTTGGTTGATGATAACATTGTGCAAGAATATTTTAGCAAAGGCTGAAATCGTATCTATTCTGTACTACGCATCAAGTTTTCCATTTGATAAACTCTTCCTGACCAATGCTAACAATTTTTTTTCAGCATCTCAAAACGTGGGCCCAAATACAGAAACATGCAAATTTTCGTTAACTACAATCCATTCAAAGTGTTAACTCATCTAACAAGTGACTATTATTTCACATTGATGCTTATTACAATTTATTGATTGAATAATTGGACTGAAGTTATTTCTTAGTAATTTGTTAATTTGTATTTTCCCTTATTCTTCGGCTTACTAAGATGTGGAGAAGGATATGGAATTTCATTACCTTCTATCAATTTATATGAAGTTTCCTTACGAAGTAATATAAGAAGAAATATATTTCTTATTGCCTACTATTTTACCCAAGAAACGTTGAGGTTATTTTCTATGTTTAACTGTTGTATTTACTATTTTACCCAAGAAACGTTAATGGTACAGCAAAATTGTTTAGTTTTTTACTGCAGCAATTTCATACTTTCATTTGTTGTTTGTATGTCTTCTTTTGGTTACTCTGTTAGGCTCTGTTTGGAGTAGCTGCAGCTTCTCAGCTTTTCAGCTGCAGTTGCGTTGCCCCAGGAAGCTGCTGCTAGGAAGCTGACTGCCTGTTTGTTGTAGCTGTGTGAAAATAGCTATGGGACAGCTTTTGCTGGAAAATTGATCATTCCGCCCCTGTTCAGTAAATTTGTTTGTAACAGAACATTGACACACACTTATTTAATAATTTAAAAGCAGAAATTAAAAATAATGATGAATTTATTTTGAAGTTTAAAAAAGCCCCCCTCAAAGCTGATCCTCTACCAAAACAACAATAAAATTGGGAACTAATATCATGAAAAACTAGACCAACAAATGATCTCCACGACTGAAAAGAAGTAAAAAAGCAGCACTGATGCATGAAGTAAAAAATATCATGAATCCATCAATTTCAACAAAATTTCCAAACTGTAAAAAAAAAATGAAAAGTGAAGTCAACAACCAAATAAGAAAAAACACACATGAAATCTATTTAGTGCAGTCTTATCTTCCATTGATAACATACCTGAATAAAATAAGATCTGCAAAACTTATCAGCTATTATTTCTCCATAAATATAAGAAAAAGAACATATAACTGTCAATAATAAGAATTGTGTGCAAGGTATGTAAGTCTCCCACATGTAAATTTGTCTAAAAAAGGAAAGAAGCGGAATATTGAAAGCATGACGGCCTGTAGGTATTTGTCTAAGAAGTTATCAGCATGTAAAAACTTAAACGACACTAATCGATCTCTTCTACTTCTCTTTTCCTAAAGCAGTACACTATCTTGCTAAGCAATGTAGTGGCCCATAAAGGTCTGTAGACATTGTTTATAGCTTGCAAAAATAAATACATCAAAAAGGTATTGAAGCTTTTAAGAGTAACAAAACGATATTGTACTCTAAGTATTGACAAAAATTTAATCAGCATTAGTTATTGCTATAAAGTGTTCATCTTAACTCACAAAGCTAAAACCACTGCTCTTTTCCTGATTGCTCATGATATTCATATCATAACATTTACCTTGATCAAAACTTTTCCCTGTTAATGAGGATAAAACAACATCAGATTCACACAAAGTGAAGAAAAATTTTGGTTTCCATGTTCTAGTTCCATGAAATTTGCTTGGACAATCAAAAATAGCCCACATGACCCATTAAACTATCATGATAACTTGAGAATAAATTCAGGTCATATTTAAATTTATTTAAGTAGCCCACCATCTTGAGAAACTTTTTAATGAAGTTTCTGAAAATACGATCGAACTTAGTGGTTTTAATATCGTAAATAATAATAAAACGTTTCATTTTTACCGTCGCATTAGCAATAAGAAGTTGAGGAGGCTTTAAAGAAAACCAAGGGTGGAAAGTCTGTAGGACCTGATGATATCCCAATTGAAGTGTGCAAATATTTGGGAGATTTGGGAGTTTCTTGGCTTACTAAACTCTTTAATATTATTTTAAAAACTAAAAAGATGCCTGAGGAGTGGAGGAAGAGTATTTTTATCCCATTTTTAAGAATAAAGGGGATGCACAAGAGTGTGCAAATTATAGAGGAATTAAGTTGATGTGTCATACTTTAAAATTATGGGAGAGGGTAATTGAACATAGGTTAAGATGCATCACGAAAATTTCTCATAATCAATTTGGATTTATGCCTGGCAGGTCTACTATGGAAGCTATACATTTATTGAGAGGTTTGATGGAGAAGTTCAGAGATAATAAGGAGAATCTACATTTGATTTTTATTGATTTAGAAAAAGCTTACGATAAGGTTCCAAGAGATATCCTTTGGAGAGTTCTCGAGAAGAAATGTGTTGATATGACTTATATTCAAGTCATTAAAGATATGTATACTAGAGCTGTTACTTGTGTTCAAACTGAAGGAGGATTGACAAAATATTTTCCTATTTCTGTTGGTTTACATCAGGGATCGACTTTAAGCCCATATCTTTTTGCTTTAGGTATGGATGGTCTTACTGGACATCTACAAGAGGATGTACCTTGGTGTATGCTTTTTGCTGATGATATTCTTCTCGTGGATAAAACAAGAGAAAAAGCCCAGGAAAAACTTGAATTATGGAGGTCTACATTGGAGTCTAAAGGCCTTCGTTTAAGTAGAACTAAAACTGAATACATGGAATGTAATTTTAGTAGTAATAGCTCTAGTGACAAAAGTGTGACTTTGGGTGATCAAATTATTAAAAGGTGTGAACGATTTAGATATCTTGGGTCCGTTGTCCAAAGCGATGGTGATATAGATGGGGATGTTAATAGTAGAATTCAAGTTGGTAGGTTGAAGTGGAGGAATGCTTCGGGCCTTTTGTGTGATAGAAAAGTACCGCTAAGACTGAAAGGAAAATTTTATAAGATGGTGGTGAGACCTGCAATGCTCTATGGCGTTGAATGTTGGCCTTTAAAAGAGAAGCATAATAATAAGTTAAGTGTTGCCGGGATGAGAATGATTAGGTGGATGAGTGGCTTTACACTTAGAGACAAAATGCGGAATGAATATATTCGTGATAGGGTTGGTGTAGCTCCTGTGACAGACAAAATTAGAGAAAGTCGTCTTAGATGGTTTGGTCATATTAAACGTCGACCATTAGATGATCTGATTAGGAGAGTAGATGTTTTAAATTCGACTTGTGTTAAGAAAGGCAGAGGTAGACCTAGGAAGACTTGGGCTTATTGTATTAAAAATGATCTTAATTTACTAGAACTAAATGAAAATATGACACTAAATAGGACGCAATGGAGAAAAAGGATTCATGTAGCCGACCCCACGTAGTGGGATTAAGGCTTTGTTGTTGTTGTTGTTGTTGTTGTAGCCCACCATCTGAGCTATATATAAGTTCAGGTCATATGCAAACAACTTTGGATCCAACAGTGCTTGTATTAATTTAGACTTTATATGTTGGCAATTCCTGTAACCACTATCACAACTAGACTCCAAGAATGGTAGTGATGGTAAAAACTTTAAGGGCAAAGATGAAAGTATCATTCTGTAGGCTATAACTATCAATCACAGAAGTTAGAAAGTAGACAGCTTACCGCATATTTATTAGAAGTAGCATGAAAAGGTGGGCACCTGCAATGATAGAAAAATGCATTAATCAGAGTACCATTTAAACATAGGCAAATTATTATTTTTTTTAAATTTATGGAACATTTTATTATTTTATACTCTTTGCTGATTAAGCCATAGAACTCAGTGCTAAGAAATTGTTTAAAAAAAAAAAATCATAAGCTTTCAATTTATGTGATTTACAGCACACGAGAAGTAATACCTAAGCAATTACATAGGGGTTTAAGACTTTTCATGCTGCACGCTGACGACCCAAGCTGGAATCTGCCGGCGCAATCGACAGGCAGATTTCTCTGCAAGTTGCCGACCCAAGACCCTTGCCGGCGGCAAAGAAGAATCAATTCTTAAATTTCACTGTTCGAATTCAGGATCAATTTTCATCTATCCCTACCTCTGCCATCGACTTACCTCAACCTCCAGCCGCGATCTCGCCGACTTCAACCGATCCAAACATTCTTATTGCAACGGTGAAGATTTAACGTCTCTGAACCATCATCGCTCCACCTTGCCATCTAAGGGGCTGACAATCTTGCAGCTCTTTCGCTTGCAAAGACAGTGGGAAAAAGACGGGCGAGAGAGGCAAATAGTATCTGTTACAAGCTCTTCCGTCGACATGGGGCTTCACAGGGAGCGTTCGCTATGGCGAAGGTAATATGTAATATTAGCGGCCGAACGTGGGGCCACGGGGTCTATCCCGCGGCCCACGTTTTTGTTAAAACGCAAAAGCTTTCACTGCGACGCTTTGCCGCCGCCGCTCCAAACGACGTAAAAGTACGTTTGCCTGCCGCGCTGCCCTTTCGCTGCTGCTGCCCCAAACAGACCCTTAGATGATGACTGTTTTATAACATGAAATGTTGGGCGGTAGTCTTTATTTTGCTGAAATTTATGCCACCATCTCCAGATTTGTATTTTTAGCTTATTTATTTATTAATGTTTTAGCCTCATTTGTATTAGTTCCATGAGATCAGTTCCTTTCGTTCAATCCAACATGCCACATCGATGATGTAGCTATGATTTGGGCCTTTTTTATGGTCTTTGATATTTGCAAGACTACTTTCATTGCTCCATAATGTTTTCAAAGGTTTTATGTTGTGAATATTGTTTTCGATTGTACTAATTTTGAACATCATCCTTTCTTTTGCAGGTTAAAATAATAAAGTGTCTCATAGAAAATATTATTGTAGATATATCTTTCAATCAAGTTGGTGGGTTGTGCACTTTATGCTTTCTTGACGAGGTGGGTTAAATGTTTTTTTTTTTACATGACTTTCTTCATTTTCTTTTTGAAATGATTGATCCAAAACTTTTTGGCATTGGCTGGATCAAATAATAGCGAAGAAATTGCATTAAATCTGAGGAATTTAGCGTTTGATTTTTTTGGAGCCATTGTTTTGATTTTTCAACTCCAATTTCATTCCCTTCTTAAATTCCAAGCAACCAAATATAGCCTTACAATTTTTTTAATGAAGCTTTCGACTTAAGTTAAGAACGATGGAGATAGACCTAGAATGACTTGAGCATATTTGTATAAAAAATGATCACAATTTATTAGAATTAAAGGAAAATATGAAACTCAATAATACGCAACGGAGAAAAAGGATTCTTTTAGCCGACCCTCACTTAGTGGGATAAAGGTTTGTTGTTGTTGTTGTTGTTTCTTTACCACCGTACTATTAAACTCCTTGCTTTTATAGGTTGACCTTCTAATAAGCCGGAATCATCTTTTCAAGAAAAGCATAATATTGATCAAAGCCTGGTGTTACTATGAGAGTCGGATTATTGGTGCTTATTTTGGGCTTATCTCCACATATGCTTTAGAGATCCTTGTTCTTTACATATTTCATGTTTTCAATGGTGCCTTTGCTGGGCCATTTGAGGTAATATTGGTTCCTTAAATTTTCTTTTTTGTAATTGTAAAACATATCATACACTAAACTGGATTGTCTGCATTATTAGGTCTTGTATCGATTCCTAGAATTTTTCAGTAATTTTGACTGGGATAACTTCTGTGTCAGCATTTGGGGCCCTGTTCCAATCAGTTCACTTCCAGATATGACAGGTAAGCATATTCTATTATGATTTATTGCTTTCGCAACTTAAATTCTCTTTTTTGTTCCTTCACAAAATTAAGCAGCGGAGCTTCCTCGAAGGGATGGTGGTAAATTGTTCTTTGATAAACTCTTTCTTGAGGCCTGCAGCGCATTTTATGCAACCTCTCTAACTGGTCTAGAAAATCAAGGCCAACAATTTGTATCCAAGCATTTGAATATTATTGATCCTTTACGTACAAGCAACAATCTTGGGCGGAGTGTGAATAAAGGTAACATTACTATTAGAAACTGCATTTATAAGTTTTTTATGTTTGGTTCGAGCCTAACTTTAAAAAATATGTTCATATTTGACTTGTTTAATTTTTTTAATAATTATATTTGGTTTGTACTTGTCTTATTCATATTAATGAACAAATGTTTTAATGAGTTAAATAACTAAACTAAAAATTTGAAAGAGTTGGCTTTTTATATAAAATTATTAATAAGTAATCTTATAAATTTGAATTAAAAAGAAATTGAATAAATTCTTGAATTGTATCTAAATACTTTATGCAATTAAATAAAATGATATAAAAGTTAGGAGAGTAGACGTTTTAAATTCGACTTATGTAAAGGAAGGTAGAGGTAGACCTAAAATGACTTGGACATGATTAAAAAATGATCTTAATTTATTAGAATTAAATGAAAATATGGCACTAAATGGGACACAATGGAGAAAAAGGATTCTTGTAGCCGACCCCACTTTGTGGGATAAAGACTCGTTGTTGTTAAATATAGAAGTTGCTAGCATGTTTTCTTGTAATTAAATAATAAAATAAGAATGCATTGCATTAAATTAATATGCATATTCAATTGTAACAAATTATTTTGCAAAATAGTTAATAAGCTAAAAAAATTATGAATTCTTAGTCGGATAAGAAATATTGTGTGAAAAGCTCAGGACTGTGGAAAGCAAAAACAAGGATTGAAGCTGCTGAGTATTGAGCAGACCATGTTCTGTAAAAGGGTAAAAATATTAAAGATATATGATATTATATAATTAATGTGAATTATACAATTCATAAATAGAGTTTATATATTATCATAATGATAAATTAATCAACCTTAATAAATATAACGGTTTGAATATAATGGATAATGATATATTAATTAATAAATTTGGTTATTTAGCAAATATATATATATATATAATTAATAATTAATCTTAAAATATTAATAATATTAAATTATAATACATTACTATTAAATAAATTCTAATTAATTAATTTTTTTAAATAACATATCATATATGATTTGAGTTATTGTTGAACTTAATATCAAATATTTATCAATTTATTTATTGAATAACAAACCACTTTATTCGTGAACATAAATAGACTAGCTGGACTATCTTTAATTTCTAATTTTTAAAAGAAATGTTTGTTTATTTACTAATATGAACAAATTTGATCGAGCATTAATTATGTATATATATATATATGTATTTTTAGTGAGTGAGTACAAAGAACCCACTTACATGAATTACAGACGTATTCCCCAAAAATAAAATAAAAAGAAACAACTTCTAATCATGGTGGGTGTATTCGGTGGATCTACCGCTTCCTCTTCCCTTGGTTCTAGGGAGGGAGTCCATCAACATACTGAGATGTGGGCTTCAAACTTGGACTATGTTTAAATTTGATTAATTCAACCTTTTATTTTTTTTAAAAAAAATGTTTAAACTTGTTTATTTACTAATATGAATAAATTTGATTGAGCATTAATTAATCCAAGTTTGAATTTTTCATCAAGTGCACCGGTTCATTTACAACCCTATTTATTTTTCATAATTTTTAGATCAAGAAATCTAGTATTGAATATAAAAAATAAACTAAAAAAAAATCAAAGAATAATGAATTAAAGTTTATAACTAATATAATAAAAGTTTTGAAATTGATTTACTATATATATATATATATATATATATATATATATAAAAATAAAACAAAAAGAAACAACTAATCATAGTGGGTGTAGTCGGTGGATCTACCGCTTCCCCTTCCCTTGGATCTAGTGAGGGAGTCCAGCAACATACTGAGATGTGGACTTCCACCCGAAACAATGATACAATCATCCTGAGAGTTACCTAGATCTGACATTCCTTTCATCTTCTTCCTAGATTTGTAAACCTACCAATCATCAGCTAGAGGTAGTCCCGTGTGAACAATAGGTGGATCTTCGATGGAGGTAAACTGCTGATCTGACTCTGCCTGCAACACACCTTGATCCAGACACTCCTCCATAACTTAAGTACCCTCTTCTCTCGCAATAGGTGATTCCAATACACTTCGACTAGCATCTGTTACAATAAAATTCGTAAAATTTATAATATTAGGAAGAACTGCCTCAACAACAGTAGACGGAAGCTACTGGTCTGGTTGGTGAGAAGTAGCCTTTTGAGTCAAATCTCATTCATTATTTCTGGAAGATTAATAGTGTCTGTTATATTTTCCTCCACATGGATGATGTTATTAGGATATATCGATCTCAAATGTGGGTGGAGCCTAAAGCATTTAACAGGGGTGTGCCCACAGTTTATATATATATATATTAAAATTAGGCATTTTTTAAGCCAAATATTTTATTTTATTCACTTAGAACCCTTCACAATGGAGAATATTTTATTTATACCGAATAGTTTATTTTATTCACTTAGGCAGAGGTAGACCTAGAAAGACTTGGGCTTATTGTATAAAAAATGATCTTAATTTATTAGAACTAAATGAAAATATGACACTAAATAGGACTCAATGGAGAAAAAAGATTGATGTAGCCGATGTAGCCGACCCCACCCCACGTAGTGGGATTAAGGCTTTTTTGTTGTTGTTGTTGTTGTACTTAGAACCCTACACAAAATAATGATTTTCTTACCTATCCCATTACTTGTAGTAAATATCCTTGGGTTATGGATATTATTTAGAATATTTAAATGAAGAGCTTATAACAATACTTTAAAGTTTAAACTTCAAAACATTCCCCAACTCATCTTAATACTCATTTACTTATTTTTTATTTTTTTTTTGAAAATTTTCCATCTTTCATCCACTTAAGAACTCACCCATTCTTATGGATATACAACTGCTCGCACTTGCTAAGCAAAAATTTAGTGTGATTGTTAAACTTAAACCCCACGTGCTATTAGTATTGAGGTAAATGGTTATATCCTTTATAAGAAATGATTGAGCTCATTTTCTTACCCTAGAACGTTAGCTTAATTATCCTTTGATCTATCCCTTTGTTATAATCAAACATAAATTCCTGAAAGTTTGTTATACCAAAATACCTCTGAATAACGTTTTTATAGTCCACCTCAACAAGTTTTAGAACTTCAGATCGTGGTCAAATGAGTTATAACAATATTGTAGATAAATAACAATGCAATTTAAGAGATTGAAAGTACATATAACAATATTTATAGCATAAATAACGTAATTCAAGAGTTATAGCACAACATCCATAACATATATAAATTAATATGAAATCTAAATAAATTGGATTAATGAAATAAATGATACATGATGTACATAGATTGTCATGACATAAAGAATTAATTTTTACAATATAGGAATAGCATGTACAGCTGATGAATCTTTGAAGTTACAATATTGTAAAATAAATTTACACATAAACGGTTTATGTAGAATTGTATGTAATCAAATTAACTTAAAATTTATTTTTGAAATGAAATATATAATTTGTTGCAAATTAGATGTAAAGCACTCATCAGATTATGTGTAAGAAATACCTAAATTATCTAAATTTTGTTAAAATATGCAATGGCTGCAAACATAGGGTCCTTATTTGTTGTGACCTTCCTCCACTCTCAAGGATGTTTGGAGTAGCGAAGTTGCTGCCTATTATCAAATAACTTTAACAATTTAAATAACCTAGGAAAGCAATTGTAGAATGAGCTCCTTGTTATCTATAAGGTCTGTGAGGTGCAAGAGGGGTCAGAGTTATATCAGTCGTGGTCTTTGCAGACAATGAGATTTCACATATCATTCAATCTATTATATTCCGACTCGTTGAAAAATTTGAGTTATGCGCCTAATTATCATCTCAGGAACTTTTTCTGCTCTCCAATGAATTACACTATGGCTTCTTCAGGTCACTCAGAGACTTCTTTGATTTATTTTACATGGAGATCAATGCTCTGCGATACTAATCATCTAATTCATCCATGATCCAACACATTGTTGCCTGATTCACAAGTCTTTGAGTAGTGTCATGTTTTATTAGGTAGATAAACAGTCAATGTGCTGTAAAAAAAAAGGCAGAAATTAGTATAATTGGTTATTCAAGAAATTATATGTGTTTAATAAAGTAGAATATTTTTAATTTTACCATCATATAATTTTATAGGAGTATTCAACTGTTGGAATCATGTGCGCTTCCTCTGCTTACTTTTATCTCTCTATCTTTGGAGTTGCTCATTAATCTTGACATATTTAATGGAAAATGATTTCTTTTCATCTATCAACCGGAAGGGGATTACTGGTGCTTGGCATGGTTTCTGTTTCTTTCTAGATGAATCTTTAAAATACCTAGTCAAATTCATTTTGCTCTTTTGATTCCTCCTCTTGTAATCTATTAACTAAGCCTCATTTATTTCTATAATACCAAGATATGAGCTAGAATTTACTATATTCTTAGCCTCCTTATCCGTATATACAAATGGTAAAGGATTGGTCAATTATATACTTCATCTCATATTCCACCTCTGCTTCATTTTTTGTTCCATGCACCTCATTCCCCACCTTAATGAGTGAATGGCTGAGTCAGTAGTTGGCATGTCCTCGCCCCATCATTTTTCTACTGCTCTTTATATCTACAACTCTGAACAAGATGGACCAAAGAACCAATTGTTGCTCTAACCCTTTTTAATTACCCTCCAACTGAGCCTGACCGCTCTCAACTCTTGCTTTAACCTTTTGTAACAGGGAATGGATTGACTGGCAGCTGATAGTTATTCCATTATTTCGCCTGCTTTCTCCTAAAAATGGGGGTACTAACTGTCTTCTTCATAACTTTAGGTGAGATATGCTGCGTAAGAGTATTTACAACAGACTCACAGAAGTCATATTCCTTATATTTTTGCATGTGTAGGATGAACAATCGCCTTTAATTAATAAGTTGGACTTAATTTAAAAATATAACGACTCACCAAATAAATAAAATGCTTTGCTTGATTTGAAATAATGATTCATACTTGCGTTTTGATCCATCACCA